ATATGGTTGCTATATGGTAACCAAGGCGTGTTATTGTTACAAAAACGTCAAAGTTGTTTGTTGAAGCGTCAACTGAATTAAAATAAATTAAAGAAATAATGGATTATCGGATGAAGAGCTGCCCGAAGTCATTTTTAAAGCTGCAAATGAAGCACATTTGGAGATGTTACCTGCCAAATCACGAGGAAGATATGAAAAACAATACGACCATTTTGTCACATGGTGTAAACAGGAAGGGGTAAAAACCTACAAAGAAGAGGTGTTTCGGGCGTATTTTTCGCACCTAAGTTTTTGAAATCTAATACTTTATGGTCTCGCTATTCGATGGTGAAAAGTTTAGTAAAAATAAAACAAAATTTGGATATAAGCCAGTTCCATAAGTTAACGTCATTTCTAAAACAAAAAATGTTGGTTTTCGAGCAGGGCTGGTATATCTAAGGGGGTCGCGACATAGACCCAGTAAATGGATGAGGGGGTGACTGAGGCTAGGGGGGAAATAGTAGTCAGCTTAAGTTGGCAACACTTTTCTAACGTTCGTTTGAACGAGCATCGTGCATAATAATGTTAATATGGTACAAGTGGAATGAACTACTGTTTTCCTCGTAGTCCAATGTCGAATTAAAACTAAAAACATTTTGTATTTTTTTATATACCAAATTATGCAATTTGTTTCCACTTTATTTTAATGTTACATGAATAGGTACATGCGTTTGTGCTGTGGTAAATAAGTGTTCATGTGAAAATTATCTCTTAAACTACATTGTGATTGCACTCATCTCAAAATTGAATACTGTAAATCCAGTATTTAAATGTTTCATAGTGTTGCTTGGGATAAATTGTAAAAAAGGTGTTGGGCAAAACGTTTACAACCTAAAATTGCATGAAAAACATGATAGAAGAAGGAATTTTACCTTTATGACATTCAACATTTTTAAGTGACTTTGTGGTTTGGTGAATGGACTGTTACCACAGTCAAAAGATTCAAAGTAAAAAAAAAGTGACCAAGTTCTAATAAGAATACATAAGTTGAATATGAAAATGTAATTACTTGATTTAAATGTGATTTAATTAAGAGTTAAATAGAGGTTTCATATAAACAGTGCTGTAAAATGTTAATAAATGCAAAACCATTATTAAAGAGAAATTAGTTATCATCAATAAGATATTTTGTAGTAGCTGGTCTCTATAAATAATAAACTTGAAATACTGAATTAGTAGTCACTTTTACACTAGAAGTAAAAACAAAAAAAAAATGTGTGGTTGAGACTAATTTATGTATTTAATAAAAACATATTTAACATAAAAGCAGGTGTTATTTGAAATGTTTTATTTTAGTTTAATAATCTTTATAAATTGTGGGTACATTTGATCCGAATCTTGCAAATACTATAAAATGCATATGCTTCTATATGGTTAGTATTAGAGTAGAAGCACAAAAGTTTTGAATAAAAATATAGATACCGAAATATTTTGCTTGATTACTAAACTTTGGATGTTTTTGTTGTAGTCTGCTGTTAACACTATTGTTCTGAAATATTAAAAAGCTAGACAAAGGTTTGTCCAACTCTTTTGTCAGCTTTGTAAATCTATGCTACTGTTATTCTGCATGCAGACATTTTTTACTGGAGATTTTCTCTAAGAACTGTATTCAGTTTCAAATTTCGGCCAGTTTTAGGAAAGTACCTCTGTTGTAAAAGTATTTCAAATCCATCCTTTGTAAGATGTAGACAACAAATACATGCTAAAATGTATAGAAAACAAATCTCAAGATATTACACAAAATTATTTAAATTAACTAAAAACATACAAATGAAGTGAATAATACCTACCAACAATTTAAAAAGACCTAAAATAAATAGACTTAAGGGACTGGAGCTCTAAAAAAGGGAGCAATAATTTGTTATGCATCATCTATAAGAAAATTGTCTTCATCTCTTCAATTACCTTTTAAAATAAACAAAACTAAAACAGCACAAAATTGAAAGTGATCTACTTTTCCCGACGTATTTTGTGTACATCTGAGATTAATAATTTATTAAATTGAAATATTTTATCCTAAAAAATATGGGCATTTTATAATGGAAATGTCATTTAAGAAATGACATTGATTTTTTTTCTTATATTGGTAAACCTGGCGACTACAAGTTGTCACGTTGCCAGATCAATGGCGACTACTATGTGACTACTATTTCGAAAAAAATGGCGTCCAAAATGGACTCCTATGTCGCGACCCCCTTAGATATACCAGCCCTGGTTTTCGAGCACAGAAGGCGCAGGTTTTTACCAAAGAAGATATATCCAGGTTTATGTTAGCCCCTGATGAGGTATACCTTATGATTAAAGTGAGTACCATTTTTGCTTTAGCTGGTGCTCTCCGCAGAGCGGAGCTTGTAAATATCACTCTCGATGATATACAAGATAAATACAATCTGATAGTTGTGAAAATTTACGATTCCAAAAATCATTTTTCAAGACCATTTGTTTTATGTGAAGAAATAAATAATGGAAACTTTCTGAAGCTGTACAGAAAGTACGCAGGTTTACGACCACCTACCACTCCGCATCGCCGCTTTTTTATTAATTATAAGAAGGGAAAATGCTCAATTCAGTGCGTTGGCGTAAACACCTTTGGTAAGATGCCAACAGAGATTGCTGCATATTTGCGTCTACCTAATCCTGAACGATATACAGGACACAGTTTTAGACGTTCTTCAGCAACATTCCTAGCAGACTCAGGTGAAGCGATAACCAATATAAAAGGTCTCGGTGGCTGGAAGTCCACTACTATCGCTGAAGGCTATTTGGAGGACTCCGAAACACAGAAGAAAAACATTTCGAATAAAATTCTTTCAAATAGAAATGACTTGCAACCTTTGCTGCCACCGTCATTTTCACCTTCATGCGACCTGCAACCGATGTCACTCCCGTCCACGTCATCTTTTCAATCTACGAGCGTTACGACTATTAACAGCCAATTAACACCAACTAATTCCTCTGTACCGGCAATTTTACATAATTTACAAAATGCTACAAATTGTATATTTAACATTAATATCCATAATAATTAGTTGTTTTTATTTAAAGATTTGTATATGTTGAAATAAAATAATTTTCCAAAAATAATTTTTCATACTTTTTTGTATATACGGTCGTAGAAAAAATAATGTTCCTAACTCATGCGTAAAGTGTCTTTCCCGCACTTGACCGCTTGCCCGAACTCCGCTTCGCGTCGTTCGGGCCAACTGCAGTCGCGTGCGGGAAAGTAACACTTTCCGCACTTGTTAGGAAAATAACTATTGTGTTAAATAGTGTTTTATTTCTATCGAACCGGAGATCTTACCCAAAGCGGTGCTTTGGTGTGACTTCTCTCAATATTGTGGCGACCGTGACAGGACTTTTTTTGTAGTTTCTTAACATTAGAACTGATTTATTATTACACCGTATTTTCATTCGCGTTTTGAAAGTCAAACTTTTTCCGATTATTTGTTATTTCGTCGGAGGCTCGGCCGGGTTTGATACTTGTGAGTGAAAATGGAAAACGACAAGAAACATCGCTCTGTTCTTCGAGGACTTTTTACTAAAGCGGCTATCGTTATCGAACATTTATTGTCTGTGCCGGTTGATGATAGAGACGGACAGCAAATAAGTGTAGAGTGGGAACTGCTACATGAAAAATTTAGTGACCTTTCTGAGGTAGAAAACAAGATTTACGAAGGTATGTTAGCGAGTTCAACAGAGGAAGATCTGACTAAAGAAATGGAAGCCTTTGATAAGTACCGTCATCGCTATCACGTTTTAAAATTAAAGTGTGATGACACGGCTTCGAACAGGTCAGTTATTTCTACATCTTCTAGCGCTAGACCAAACCAAGGTAAGCGAAAATTTAAATTACCTACTATTGAATTAAAAAAGTTTAATGGAGACCTGAAAGAGTGGCTGCCCTTTTGGTCGCAATTTAGAAAGGCGCATGATGATCCAGATATCGATTTAAATGACAAAATTGCGTATATTACACAGGCCACTGTTTCAGAAAGCAAGGCTAGACAAATAGTAGAGAGTTTCCCTGCCGTTTCCGAAAATTATGTTAAAATTATTGAGTGCTTGCAGTCTAGATTCGGCAGGGAAGACCTCCAGATAGAAGTCTACGTGAACTTTTAAAACTTGTTTTAAATAGAGTTTCAAGCGGCTATTCTAATGTTGCTATGCTATATGATAATATTGAAAGTCAGTTAAGGTCACTGGAAACTTTAGGTATAACGACTGATAAATATGCTGCAATATTATATCCCATGATTGAATCTTGTTTACCTGAGGATATGATTCTGCTGTGGCATAGATCCTCTGAGTTTTTAAGACCTCCATCGGAAAATTCTTCAGGTAATTCCCATAAAGTCGTACCTGTTTTAGGCCTTATTTGGGACACCAGAACAGACAGCCTTTCTATTAACAAGGAACCTCTTCAAATTGGCATGAGATTAGAAAATGAAGTCATAACAAAGAGATTGATGCTATCCTTCACTCAACGGATTTTCGACCCAGTCAGTTTTACATGCCCTGTATCGTTGTTCTCCAAATTGTTATTGCAAAAGCTCTGGGAGAAACGGTTAGTATGGGATGTTCTAGTGGATTAAGAAACCGCTAAAGGTTTTCGAAAATGGGCGGAAGAACTTCCTGACTTATTAAAAATCAAGATTCCTCGATGGATACAAGCTGGTCCTGGTGAAGCTGAATGTTGGAGCTTGCATACATTTTCAGATGCAAGGAAGCTTATGCAGCAGTAGTATTCCTGAGAGTTGAAAAGAATAATGATTTTTTTATCTACTTGTTGGCAGCCAAAGCTCGAGTTGTTCCATTGAAAAAGATTTCTATACCAAGATTGGAACTCTAGGCGGCCACAATTGCAGCCCGACTCTATGACTCGGTGAGAAAACAATTCCCTAACTCTGTAGAATCATATTTCTGAAGCGATTCCACAACTGTTATATCGTGGATTCGTCGTACTGAAGAATGGTCTATTTTTGTATTCAACAGAGTAAAAGAAATTCGTCAGTTAACTGAAGCAGATCGGTGGAACCACATACCAGGTTCAGATAATCCTGCTGACTTGCCTTCGAGAGGCTGTTTCGGTAGACAGTTAGTCGAATCAAGATGGTGGGAGGGACCAACCTGGCTCTATGAAAGAGAATGCTGTGTTCAACAAAATGTAGAGTTCGATGAAGAAGAAATTAGTAAAGAAAAGAAGAAAGGCGCCATTACTAATTTATTGAATACTGACACTGATTATTGGCATTTTTATTACTTCTCCCAATATACCAAATTATTAAGAATGATGGCTTGGATTTTACGATTTTGCCATAATGTTAAAAACCCAAGACAGAGATTCAGCGGAGAACTAACCGCAGAAGAAATTAATCAAACAGAAGTGGTCGTATTGAAAGAAGTTCAGAAGGAGTCATTTGAGGATAATAGTAAACGAATTTCATCTTTAAAGCCGTTTACTGATGAATCTGGACTTATCCGTTTAAAATCGCGCATCTCCGAGAGACCTGACACCATGGCTTTTCGTTTACCTATAATACTGCCTGGTGAACACCCCGTTGTGCGTAAGTTAATTCTGGACTTTCATAAAAAATCGTGTCATGTTGGGACGCAAAGACTACTTAGTTTACTTCGCGAACAGTATTGGACTCTAGGGGGCAGACGTTTGGTACGTTCGGTAATAAAGAAATGCCGTGTATGTAAAAGTCATTTAAGTAAATCACTTACCGTGGAAACATCTTCTTTGCCTCTTGACCGAGTTCGCGATGCCAGGGTTTTTGAGGTCACCCGAATAGACTTTGCCGGACCGTTATTTTTGAAATCGGGTGAAAAGGCATGGGTTTGCTTGTTTACTTGTGCGGTGTATCGGGCGGTTCATCTCGAACTAGTTACCTCGTTGTCGACGAACAGTTTTATCCAGGCCTTGCGCCGTTTCATTTCCCGACGTGGTCGTCCCGGTATCGTGTACAGTGATAAAGGTACGAATTTTGTTGGACTTGAAAACTGTCTAAAAGTTTTAGATTGGGACGCTATCGCGACATACAGTTCTGTGCAAAGAATAAAGTGGCGTTTTAATCCTCCTACCACTGCATGCTGGGGAGGTTTTTGGGAGTGTCTTATAGGAATCCTAAAAGGACTTTTACGAAAAGTTTTAGGACGTGCGTGTCTCGGCTATGAAGACTTACTTACGCTGTTGTGCGAATGCGAAAATATTGTTAACTCGCGTCCCTTAACATATCTATCCGACGATCCTACCGATCTTTCCGCTTTGACTCCAGCTATATTTTTGCAAGACCAGGTAGAAACAGGAATGCCAGATTGTGATGCGTTGGAGAAAACTTCTCTTTGTCGCAAGCTACGACATAGACAACAGTTAAGGGAACATCTACAAAAGAGATTCCGCAATGAATACCTTGCTCAGCTTAAATTTCCTGGTAAAATGAATAGGCCGAGTAACATTTCAGTAGGAGATGTTGTCATAATAGTACATGACAATATGAAACGTCTTGACTGGCCTCTAGGTAAGGTCATCGAGGTCATCCCAGGTAAAAATGGTCAAATACGTTTGGTACGTCTGAAAACTGCCCAAGGCCAACTGCTCAGGCCTTTGCAGAGACTTCATCCATTGGAATGGATCGCCGCTGTCATCGAGGATACAACAGATGCTGACGACGTAGAGAAATCTTTCGAAAGTGCGGGAGTGATAAAAAGCAGAGTATCCGAAAGTGAAAGTGCGCGAAGCCTTGTTTCCGATTCACATGTTAAAGTCACACGAAAAGGACGACATATTAAGTTACCACCTAGGTATCAATAACAATGAGTTTTATATCATGAATGTACAAGTTTGTTATTTTTGTCTCTTTAGTTTTGTTTGAGTCACTTTTTTAATGTTAAGTTCCTCAAGGTGGGAGGATGTTAGAGACAAATGTAATTTTTCAGTTTTTTCCTTAGTTATTAAGAATCTGGACGGATCTGGCAACGGCGTTCTGTTCCAGACTATCGGCCATCCACCATTCTCCGGTTATTCGCAACAATTTGCAATAGTTTTGTTATTAGCAGGAGCTTTACTCTAAAAGAATCCTTATAGTTTGTAATAAGTCGCGAAAAGGGTTGTATTGTTTCTCAAGCTATTTGATAGGTGAGAAAAACCCGGAAAACCTCACCCACCATTAATACTCGGCGTCATGTCGTTAACATAGTAAAAGAAAATAAATGGATAATTTTAGAGCATCTACCCAACTTTATCGTCACGCGATTTTCATATCTTGGACCACTGAAAATGGCGTTAGGTAATGTAACCTACCACATCTAGGTACCTTAATAATTTATTAATTCCATTTTATTAAAGAAAAGTTGCATTCTTAAATTCAAAATTCTTCATTTAACGAAAAATCTCCCAGATAATTAAATCTTATTTACGACACATAATAAATAATATCTATAACCCTGCCAGTAAGAGATCCAATTTCTTACAAGTGTCTGGGAACCCGATCTAAAACCACCATAAAACATAAGTTGTCACGAAGTAATAATCATAGAAACACTTAACCCACTTATATTAAGTCAGTTTTGGATAGGAACGTTGTTTTCGATACACAAACTTTTCAAGGCAAGTAATAAATCAGCCACCCCCTATCCACCCAAATTCGTTCACACGAGAAACTGACGTCACAAAAAGTAATTAAATCAAGTATAAAGACCCGATTTAAGGGGACTCGAGATTTATTAAGAAATCAAACTCAGTTCAGTTGATTTCGAGCTCCAGCCATATTATTCTTTAAATCTAGTATAATTCAAGTTCAGTACCTTCCCTAAACTCACGCAGTTCACATCGTACCTTTATCCGACTGTTCCGTTTTTATAAAGTAACCCGACTATATCTACTTTAATCGCCCGGACTATTTTTTTTACCGTTACAAATTAGTGCATCAAGAGCGCTGCAATCACCTCCGTTTCCGCATATCCGCGAAGAATTAGTGAACTCCGCAAAACCAATAGACATGATTGTCGTTTTGGACAGGGTGTAAAAAATTAGCGTCACTTCGCCATTATTACGTGTGTAGTCGTTGTCGTTGCCGTTGCATCTATTCGAGTCTCGTAGGTAGACTATTATTCAGATTACTCGATCAAATAAATTATTGTGTCTTTGCCGGTATAATTGATCATATCGGTATAAAAATATAAGTGTGTTTCCCAAGAAAATAACGTGTTGGATTCTACAGAGCATCGGGGGGCCCCCTTCTGTCTTCGATTCACTACAGGAACTGGTAAGAAATGTTGTGTTGCTTTATTTTCAAGGAAACTTAATTTTCGTGGTTCGCTCGAACAAAATCGTGTTTTTTTTCCTTTAAAACAAAACACCGACGTCCTTCAGCCCGACGACCTACTTCCCGGACGTTCTTACGTTTCGATGACTCTACGTTCGACGTCATCTCTTTTATCCGACGCCCTCCATCCGACGCCCTCCATCCGACGCCCTCCATCCGACGCCCAATATCCCATCTCACGCCCTACGTCCTTACTTTTCTACCTTTCTACGTTTGGCGTTCTGCGTCATGACGCTCTCTCTCCGTCACGCCGCTCTAAATTCCGACGCCTACATCTTAAAAGTCCCTGCTGAATATCCCGACACAACATAACGCTTCCGTACCGAATACAACAATATAAAATGTCTGAAATAGACGATAATATACACTCAACGGTCTGCATATCCGATGGTGAGTTAATAACGAAATTAAATAGGTAAAATGGGAATTTATTGTTGAATAATAATGAGTATTATTGTGTTACTCATTATTATTCAATAATGGTCAACTTTTATATTTTTGAGGAATTTATTGCTCGCCGACATTGCATAAAACACTCATAGGTGAGGCTGAAACATAAGGGATATCCGTTTGAAACAATAGAATTATTAAAGATAGTGCAATTCTAAGGACGTCTGCTGTCTATTCTCAAGAATTTTTTTATTATATAAATTTGATGGCAAGTGTGTTTATTTGGGCAAGACACATGTGAGGTCTTGGTGAGAAATACAAATTTTCATTCCCCAATTTAAGTAATGGTATCGCTATTTTATTTGAAGATAAAATAATGAAGTTAAATATAATTTGGGATTTATTTCAGTCACAAATTTGTAACAAACTTTGCATCGAATCCTGGTTTGTCTTAATTAACATTAACGTGGGTATATTAATTACACAGGGCAACAAAAAAATATTTTTTTTGGTGCCTAGGATTTTAGAGCTGATTTTAACTATATTTGGGACGCTAAATCTGTACATGCAATCCGTTTTTCTCTATCAGCTCTACTTTTTTAGATACATCAACTTATCTACCAATGTGGATTTTATTCAGAATATTCATTTATGAGAGTTCTAAAATTATTATATATTCATTAATGTAGGTACAATAGTTTTATTGTCAGTCTGTAATTGAGTAAATTCCAGATAAATCTATAAATAGTGGAACCATTGCCTATCAGGTACCTGAACTGACCCTTTTAATTCCCTAACTCGGGTAAGTTTCATCAGTTTGTGCGTTCTTACTATAGTCTATTTTTATGTATGAGAGAGTAATAAAACAGCATTTCTAATGCAAAACGGTCATTTAAAATATTTTTACAGAATAATCTAAATATTTCCTAAAATTGTAATAAATGTACCTGAGCTATTACAAGTTTTGGGTCTTTTATTGGTCCTTTATAAACATAAGCTGTACAGAACAATAGAAAAAGGTTTGGACAGGCCAAAAGCCCTGTGTATTAAAGTTTACATAGCCGTATCTTAAGATTATTTTCAATAAGTACCTATTTGCCAATTTTATTTTAATTCCAAGAATTTCTTACAGTAATCGAATTATAAGTAGATAAATACCTTCCCAACAAATTTCACCGAAAATGCGATTATAGGTTTTCCATTTAGTAAGGAGGTCCAAGTTGTGTATTCTTGACAGTTTACTAAATGTCGTTTAGTTGCAACTTGCAAGGTGCAGTGTGAATTCTAGTGTGATCATGGAAAATTTGGAAGGGCCGCGTAAACGACAAAAAATCGGTCCTTTAAAAGTTAATGAAAAAACATTAATTAATTGTTTTAAATCATTTACAGGCAAACATTTATGTAAAAGTGTTGATGACACAGGGGAATATTAGTTAGTAGTACGCTTGGTGTTACAGAGTTGTTAAAGAAGAGAAATGTGGCGAGTTTCAAACAGCACGTAAAGCTCCAGGAAAACCAAAATTTCAATTAGAAAATCTTTTGAAAGAAAGACTTCGAAGGAAAGTGCATGCGTTCTTCTTTAGAAAAGAATTTCCGACAGTAGACAAAGTTCTTGCCACGGTTCGAGATGATAAGGATTACCCTGAAATGAGTCGAAGCACACTATGGAAACTTTTAAAAGAAATAGGTTTTCTATGGAAAAAGCATTCCAGAAAGTCTATTTTAATAGTAAGAAGCGATATTGTAGTATGGAGAAGAAATTACCTAAGGATTATAAAAGAAACTAATAATAGTTACACATCGGTAGTTCAAACGGTTTTGTTAAAGGTGGTTTATTGACTTTTGAATCTACTCGTACCGGTGACTACCATGAGGACATGAATGCTGATATCTTTAAAGAGTGGTTCGAACAAATTATAGATCTTCTTTGTCAGAACTGTATAATAGTAATGGATAATGCAAGTTATCACTCGAGACTTATAGAAAAAATGCCCACAACCAAGTGGTAAAAAAAGATTTACAGAATTGGGTAAATTCAAAGAATATTCAGTTCCATCCCGGTTCTGTGAGAAAAGAACTGTTTATTTGTGTTCCCTTCATAAAGAGAAATTAAAAAAATATGAAATTGATGAAATTGCAAAAAATCGTGGGATGACGGTGGTTAGATCACCACCATATCATTGCGAAGTAAACCCGATTGAACTGATATGGGCACAGATAAAGGGAGAAGTTTCAAGAAAAAATAATTCTTTTAAAATGAGTGATGTTAAACAGTTGTTTTTGGAGGCTGTAAATAATTTGAAGCCTGAAAACTGGGAAATGGCAGTAAATCATACGATTAAAGAAGAAGAGAAAATGTGGAAGTTGGACAATATTATTGATGAAATGATCGAGCCACTCATTGTAAATATTGGTTGCGACAGTTCATCTTCTGATTTCGATTCTGATTTGGATTTGTAGGTAAGAAGTAGTTTTTATATTAAAATTATTATTTATGAACGTAACGTTGTTTAAAAGTCAAAGTTTAAACCCTTATACCTACATAACCCGTTTGACACAATGTTCTTAACATACCTTGTGGAAAAATAAAACATTTTAGAAAAACTTGCACTTTTTTACCTTCAGCTGTTTAGAAGTTGTAAGCAGGTTAATTAAGTGAAAATATAAGTATATACTCGAGGAATAACTTAAAAAAATATTTTAATTATCTACTAAAAGAAGTGATACGCCTATGAATTACGAACGCTTTATTATTTTAATACTCTCTCATACATAAAAATAGACTATAGATATATAAAAATAAATCGAATTCGGCGTGTAATTTTATGTTAAGAAAAGAGTGTTTTTGTGTTATTGAACAGAATTAAAATGAGTTCAGGTTCCATTTCAAGAAGAAGTTGTGTAAATCAACCTGATGTGTTTTGCTACTATATTTGCGGAGAATACATGTTTCAACAAAACAGACAAACTATTATTGACTTTGTAAAGCGAGCGTATCTTGGCTATTTTAGAGTTAACCTTGGTGATCAGGACAAAAAAATGGGCCCCGCATCGCGTATGTAAAACTTGTACAGAACATTTACGGCAGTGGACTACCGGGAAAAGAAAATGTCTAAAATTCGGCGTTTCAATGGTTTGGAGAGAACCAAAAAACCCTTTCAATGATTGTTAATTCTCTTTAGTAAATACTAAAGGAATCAATCGAAATAACCGCAGTAAGTGGACTTATCCCAATGTAGACTTGGCAATACGCCCTATCCCGCACTCAGATAAAATACCGATTCCAACATTTCATCAGCTACCATATATCTCTGATGACGAATATTTTCCCTCTGATCGCTGTTCTGATGCTAATAAAAGTTCTGATGCTAATGAAACTAACAGTAACTATGAGAAGACGTCATCAGTTCCTCAACGCTTCAATCAAAATGAATTAAATGATCTCACCAGGAATATGAATTTATCGAAAAAAGCTTCTGAAGTACTGGCATCTAGGTTAAACGACAAAAATTTATTGGAACAAGGAACCAAAATTACCTTTTACCGTACAAGAGAAAAGTATCTGCTACCATTCTTTTCTCAAGAAGACAATCTTGTATTTTGTCACGAAATTAATGGACTCATGAAAGAAATGGGACTTTCTGAATATATTCCAGATGATTGGCGCCTATTTATTGACAGTTCAAAGCGAAGTTTAAAATGTGTCCTTCTACATAATGGGAATAAATATGGTTCAATACCACTAGCTCACTCAACGAAACTGAAAGAAGAATATAATACCGTAGCTTTGGTCTTGCAGAAGATAAAGTATCACGAACATCAATGGATGATTTGTGTAGACTTAAAAATGGTAAACTTTCTACTTGGGCAGCAAAGCTGTTACACGAAATATCCGTGTTTCTTGTGCCTCTGGGATAGTAGGGACAAAACACACCACTGGGTTACAAAAGATTGGCCTCAAAGAGAAAACATGGACGTTGGGAAAAGAATGTCATTAACGACGTTTAGGTTGAAAGAGAAAAAATCATACTTCCTCCGTTACATATAAAGTTGGGCTTAATGAAGCAATTTGTAAAGACTCTTGATAAGAATGGGTCATGTTTTGCATATATAGGGGTAAAAATGCATCAGTTGAGTACAGAAAAACTCAAAGCAGGGATATTTGACGGCCCACAAATAAGACAATTAATTAAGGATCCTGCTTTCATAAATTCAATGAATCAAGTTGAACAAGAAGCTTGGACATCATTTGTTGCAGTTGTAGAAAATTTTCTAGGCAAACTTAAAGCTCAAAACTATGTTAAAATGGTTAAGAAGATGCTTAATAGTTTCAAATCCTTAGGGTGCAATATGAGTATTAAAATACACTATTTACACAACCACTTAGACCGTTTTCCAGAAAATTTATGAGTGAGGAACAAGGTGAAAGATTTCACCAAGATATTAAAGCTATGGAGAACCGCTACCAAGGAAGATGGGATATGCACATGATGGCAGATTACTGCTAAGGTTTAAAAAGGGACTGTTTAAAAAACATTCAAGAATGTCGCGGAAAAGAAGCATTCGAAGTGTTGAGTGACTATTTGATTTCTTCAATGTTTTTTTGTTTGTAAGTACGATATAATATTGTATTTTGTATAACTAAAATAAAAATTTCGTCTCTACTTTTGTTTCCTACACTTACGGATTTGAGTTAAAATAATGTAACTTATATTTTGTAATAATTGGCATTATTATTAATTCTAAACAAGTATTTAATGTTTAAATTAAATAATTAAAAAGACACAATGAAACAAACCTTCAATTTATTAATCTACATTGAACGTGACATTGTTAAATACAATCAACAGTCACATAAATTTTGGTTTATATAAAAAGGATCACTTGGGAAAAACTCTCAGTCGGGTTCGGACTAAGGTCCAGAACTTACGCCCCTTGGGCGAAACCCTGGTTTTGTATTGTAAAGTAAAGTGTAGAGTATAGTTTTTGTGTACGATGTGACTTATGGGTAAATATTTTAACTTAATTTTACAGTAATTTTGTTTAATAATAATTGATTAATTGATTTACATATAAATGCCAATTTTACATTTTCGTCCCGAATTATATTTTATGCGTATCTTTATTACTATTAGTTATAGTGCATTATTCCCTAAATGGAATTTTATTCATTTTTTTCTGAAGACTATTTGTCAAGTTTTATATTTATTGTTAATATACATTTGTTAATGTTTTAATACTTATTATTAATCTCTCCTCCCTTTCCAAACCAGCAAAATACTCCGAGCATTTTAAAAGCCTAGGCGTTTCTATTCCCTTAGGACTAAAAGAGTCTAAAACTAGTTGCCAAGAACCGCTCGACATATGCTTATAAGGGATGTTTTTTTGTATTTTATTATTTTTTCTTTATTATTTTCTTTTGCCACTGGCGAATGGAGGTTCCTTCAGGACTCCAGGACCCTTTGGCTGGTGACAACGCTGCCCTAATCCCTTAATATTATATTAACAACAATAGCTAAAGACCTATCAGTAGTTACAAATGGTCTTTAGGCTTTCCGGTTGTTACATTTGGTGACGAGCGTTGGTCCTTTAGGTATGCTGGTTGTTACAATTTCTCTAAAATTGTATATCTTAAAAATTTGAGCTCCTAGGTAAAAATGAATACGTTATTTGAATTCAGGACATCAAACTGATATAGAATCAGCTCAAAAACCTCGACACCAAAACAGCAGTTCCCCTGTGTTATCAATTAATTAACTAGACGATCACTACACTACTAGATAAGAAAGGCCAAATACAGTAAGTATGAATTACTTTGAATTTCACAAAGGAAGGCAGTTAAAAAATGCTGGCTTTGAATAACTAGCAGCAAGACCGGGGGTGGGCGGTTACAGAAACCGTTTTCAGTTGAACGTAGAAGTACTAAATGCTGTGAATTAATTCTTCAAGCAGCAGCCAGAATAATTAAATGAGCAAGGTATACATTGATTGGTGAAACAATGGGATATGAACTTTAATTGTGGTGGTAGTTATTTGTAAATATATTCCTCAATAAAGTTTTTATGGACCAAAGATGGGTTTCAATTGAACAAGCCTTGTTATCCAAGGTAGTTCAAAGTATGTTGTTTATTTATTTATTTAATAATACCTATTTCTATTTTATTTGTGGTGTATTATACAGCTATTCTTTTAAGAACGCATTTTACCTACCTGTTCTAGTCGATTTGTCATTTTTCTTGAAGTTAAATTATGTGCTACTAGTCCAAAATGGCAGCGCCCATAGTCCGCGCTTCGGATCTTTCTTGCCCTTCGATTCAATTTTATAAAGAATCGATCTTCTGTGTCGTTATTTCAATTTTTTAGAATCGATTTTACAAGGAAAGATTAATTTAAAGATCGGTAAAAAGTCCGGAGTCTTGCCTACGTCTTATATGTTCATAATTATCGAAGTGGATTTTGCCTTTTTGCCTTTTGTTACCATCAAAAGTGAATAAACAAGAAAAGTAACATTTTTATTTTTAAGAAAATTAAAATTCAACGGTCATCGTCTTATACTCTGTTGTGTTTTGTGGTTCTTGATTTCCTGAAAAGTGAAAAAAAAAAACAAAATATCTAAGAAAAGATTAAATCTAAGATTCCAAACTTTTATATATGATTTTGATTTCGAAAAAATAGAGTTAATATTTTGTTTTGGATACTTTCTACTTAGTTTAAACTAATTTTATATAGAATGAATAGATCTTCAATAGATCGATATTTGGCTCTATAATTTAATTCGATACTAAGAATCGATATTTTTTACCGAAATCGGAAACCTTATAGAAATATGTGGTACTAATCCTCTGCGTCGGTCTGAAATATGAGTTGTGAGTCGAGTGCCCCTTCTCTTTCCTAGTCTAAGGCTTATGAGTTACAGATAGGGATAGATGGCGTTGTTTGCAGGATTCCTAAAAAGTTGACGTAGACTCAAAAAACACATAACGTAACTGGTTAATACAATATATATCGAAAATATGCCGAAATGTTTTAATCCTATTTACACAGCAATAGAGTAATCGGTTGGTTGGCCCGAACCCCCGGTGGCGGGCCTCGACCATAGGCTGGATCTCAAACCGAGTTTGAGCTTTTTGAGCGTATCGATGTCGCATTCGGCTTCGCTCAGTTCGGGCCGATCGGGAGTCGTTTGATCCGCTGGCCTTTCGGTGAACGGCGTTTCGGCCACCGAAAGATGGCTCAACATCTGTCGTTGGGAGTTGCTCCTGCCTCCTTGTGCTAACCACCTGCAGACAAAAAGGCGTATACAATAAATCAATTATAGATTTTTAAACGCTGGGTATTCAGGAATTCTGGGTAGGTACCTCGTGGCTTGTCTGTCTGCCACTCAGCCCTACCAGTGGGAAGGTGCGGGCAACGTGTCACTGGCACTGGCCTAAAAGGCGTTCCTTGGAGCAGGGACCCTGGTTTGGACGAAGGACAAAGAGCGCTCCTGGGGTAATACTGGTACGGCGATCTTCTGAAAATTCACCATGCAGGCCATGGAAGACAAAATAATTTAATTTTTTTGCGACACACTGTATATTACGTTAAAACTTATCGATTATATTATTTTGCATGAAGCACAGGTCACTATTTACAATATTAATTGAGAATCAAGGATGTAATAGTACCTCAAGGCTCAGTTTTGGGATTAACACGATTAATTTTAATATCAATAATCTACTTTCATATTCTTCCATATACCTAAGTGCCATAATATGAAGTTCACAATACTAGTAAGTTTGTATGAGTGTTGCTAGCTAAAAGGTTTGAATCATGCACATTAATTATTGAAAGATTCTTGTTCATTAAAACCTTAAATGAACTATTAAATAGATTAACTAACAAACAAAAATATAAAATCCAAGTACAGGAAATATCATTTTCAGACTATGTATGTAAGCAATTTAAATCGTTACGATAATTTAATAGAAACCAATACAAAATTTTAATAAAACAAAAACTCCAAACATTGTAAAGTAACTACCTGTTTCATAATTATAATCATGGGCTTATACAGGGTGGGGGCAAGGGGGGGGGGCAGCTGCCCCCCTGGATCTTCCAATATACAGTGTAACTCATAAAGTGCGCATCATACCCAGACAACACACCAAATCCCAGAGATATCCACAGAATATCTTTTGTGGATATCCAATAGAAATATTCCGTGGATCTAATATGGATATCCAAATGTTCGTCTATATCCAGAATATAGAAGATATCCTAATGGATATCCAGCAAAATGTCTAATGGGTATCTTCCAGAAAATACAAGAAATCCCAGAGATATCCACAGAATATATTTTGTGGATATTCAATATATCCAATATGGATATCCAACCAAATGTCCGTCTATATCCCAGGATATAGAAGATATTCGGATATTCAGCAAAATATTTTATCTTTAGTAGAGGTTCATAAGTAACCAATGATTATTGAATAACGTCGAAAGAAAATAGCAGAGATAAAAAATATTTTCAACACTCAAAATATTTTTAACACTCTACCTTTGATTTTGCCCACTAAGGAGAAAGTCATCCTTATTAGGACTCTTCAGCAATAAATGGAAATTCTCGACTCCAGTCTCTAATGGAGTCTGATTAGAACACAAATTTCGATCGAACTCAATTACGGCGGGTCGAGCATGAGTAGATGCGAAAGTGGTATCGCCATCTATACTTAGTAAGCAAAATCAAATAACAACTAGTGGATGTTTACGTTCGCGCCTAGACTTTGATATATTTAGTGGATGTCCATGGGATATTGAATACACCGTAGCCGGGACAAATTCCCGGGGCCCAGCAGCACGACGTCTTTTATTGTTTTTTAGAAGTTTGGCACAAAAGCACAAGAGAGGGGACCTTTTAGAGATTTCCCTAAAGAAGAGAAGTTTTTGCTTGAAGACCTTTTTTTTGTTTTTAAAAATGTGATATTGAAAGGGCTTAATTTGTTTATAAAATTGTCGCAGGGCCCGACCTGGAAAATTTTCTCGAGGCCCGACCTGGCTTTCGGCGTCCCTGCTTATGTGCTAACTCAACACGTAGCGAATCGAATAAGGAGAGACATTACATAAGAATCGACTTCGTGGAACGAAGATAGGCGTTTCAACACGTGCCGTATTGAAAGATGAGAATCCCAATGCACGAGACAGCAAAAAAAGTAAAAAAAGTAAGGTTAAGGCAGGCTAATAAAGGGACGTCTGTTTTTGAAAACCGAACAGGGTAAACTGAAGAAGGTATCTCAAAATAAACAAGGTTTTGTACCTTTCAATTGGAGTGAATTTGATAATTTTAAGTTTCTACTGAGGACTGAGAACCGTGTAGGTGGGTTCGGTTAGTCAAGGAGTAGGAGCGGGATAGAAGCAGATGTTTTTAGAAGCGTGTTGAACTGTCATTAATCGGAATAAACGAACGATAGAAAGGTTGACTGGAGTTATAATAGTGAATGCAGTGAATGGAGCTTCACTAAACAGTACACAGACAGGTTTGCAACTAGAAAAATATAATATTCTGTCACCCTCCCTCAAACATTTTCAGACAATGGCACTTGATATTTGAAGACAGGCCATAAATCCTCTTAATAATGACCACGATGAAGTTAAGACTATACAATACATCAAATAGGAGTAAGAAACGCTCCAGCTTATAAATCCTCAAGTTGTGTCTGATATTAAAGACATAATTGGACATAATTATAAGTCATCCATGGCCATTGCCATGGAAAGGAAATGTAATTGGGATTCCTATTTATAGCAAAAAAGTAATACTCACCTATTTCTATTCCTTCGTGGAAGCGATTTTTGGTCAGACATCGGTGAAATATCTGATGAAGTACTTGATTGAGCACCATGATAAAGGAAATCTATGAAATAAAGAAAATCATCTAAATTACACAAGATCATTGAATAGTGATTGAGAGATAGGATTCTGCGCAGTAGATTAAGTCTGCTGCCAAGTCTAGGTACATTTACATTAAAACACATTACACAACTAACAATATCCTAAAATATGTCAAAAATATTAATAAACTTGACTCACTATGTTTATGTTTCATATCTAAGTGATTGGAAGACTCAGTCCTACTGGACGTTAATTGGTCTTGATCGGATTCGCTGTCATCACTGTCCACGTCCGTCTTTCTATTGGCACGTCGTCGGCCGTGGCCTTTTGTACTTTGAAATTTTTGCTAAAGAAAATAATTCTTTATAAACAATGAACATGTGATGTTCAGGAAATCAAACTACAGATGAGTAAAATAACGTATATCTCAAAAGTTTTAGGAAAAAAGTAATGGTAAAAAATTTGATAAAATTTTTAATTTATTTTGTATTTTAACAACATGACTAAATAACTACGTTAATTCTTGTTTCTACTAAATATTTACACAATGGATAATGGTCCATTCACTTCTATTGCACTTAATATGGTCCTTACATGTGCCATCAGTGTTTGGACGGTAGCAATGTCGATTTCCCGTATTTTCTTGTATATTCTGCGACTTAGTTGTTTCTTATTTTGGGCTTTCCAACCGCCTGGGGCACATTTGGAAGGTTGTCGACAACAAAATTGATGCCATTTGCAGCTAACCAGTCTGTCGTTCTTCTGGCGTAGTGAGACGATGCTAAATCAGGCCAGAATATTATTTGGTCGTTGCGATAATGAGTATCGTAGCTCTGTAAGACACCTACCGATGTAAATGTCAGCATTGATGGCTTCACCACAAACATGTCCAATATACTGTAAAACACCATTATTCGATATGGCGCACTACATCAAGATTTTGTCCTCAAACTTATGTTTGCCTTTGAATTTCACATTATCTGGAGCATTTTGTACATTATCTGTATAGAACCCATCATTACCTTTGATCCCAGAATTGGATAATGTGAAATATTTTTCATGGTCAATAACAATAACTTTACGGCAATATCTCGGAATTTTTTCCAACTGATTGTCGCTATATTTTGGTGCCTTCCTTCGTTTTCGATACTGAATACCATTTCTGCAGAATGTTCTACAGTTGCTTTTGAAACGTGAAATCTTCGACCTAACTTTTGCACTGACATTCCAATCTTGTTATTTGCTGCTTCAATTAATCTTCGTTCATTTGCTCGACTCAAAACTTTGGGGCGTCCACTTTTTGGTAAATTCGTGCAAGGTATACCCTCCTCGCATTCTTTTATTGCTTGGTAAATTGTCGAAACAGATATATATTTGGCCCCTATCACATACTTTGATTACTATACGAGGCAAGAGAGAGGTCCGACACGCCCAACATAGGGCGCGGTCATTTTGAACCCTGTGACATAGTTTACAGCTAAAGAATCAGATCGCTCACTCTGCGTCGGCACTTTGGATCTCAATGTTTCAGTTTATACACTGTGCAACTCGGATAATACAATATATGATAACCGCCTATAATAAAACAGCAGTCTTCTGCGTATCCTGAATTTGTATCCCTGGAGTGGATGTTATTTTGAAACTTTCAACTGGTCCGAGTGAGCTAACTGATTCTTTAGAAATAAACTGTGACTCCAAAAATATTAGGCATTCCAACGACCTGTCCAAATGGCTACCAGTGGGTAATGACAGTTTAGATATGGCAACCCTGTTGTCATGTTGTCATTAACAGGGCCAATGATACATATATAGTTATATAGATTGCTCAAAGCTGGTCGTTTACGAGCGGCCATATTGTCTGGTAAATATTTATTAATTTGAATCGGTTTAGCAAAAATGTGTTTTAAAACCAATTTTTTGCCTTTAGGTAATTAAAAAAAATAATTGCTTATATTTTTACTTTAAGGCATAAGCTTATGTTTATTTTGAAAAATATGGATGATCAATCTATGTAACTATCTATTTCATTGATCTTGTCAAATCACCAGGCCTACAGGGTTGCCATAATTTTGCCATATCATACCCCGTCAAAACCCACTGGTAGCCATTCAGTTTGGAATGCCTAATTATTCACTGACACTGACAGCAGCAAGCAAAATATCAGGTGCGTTTTAATCATCCGCTCTGCTTCCGGAATTGTCGGTTTAGTCGTTTTAACCTGTCAGATTAAAACAAGAAAACTGACAATTCCGAAGCAGAAGCGGATGATTAAAACGCACCTATTAAAAATATTGCGCCAAGATGTAGGCAACACGTAATAAGGGTTCAAAATGGCGGAATTTTCTATCTCCTTTTAAAAGGCACTCAGAAAGCTGCGCAGTGCGACCATTCTCCGTATAGTAAAAGAAAATCAAAGTATGTGGCCCCTATACATTCTGACAATATCAGGCTTAGATACTAAAGACATTTCTTTATAAGCTTACCACGACATACTTCGTAACAGCGTTGTGCTTACTCTGATGACGTCAGACATACCGTGGTAACTCGTAGCACTTGTCGTTGTCACATGTCAAATTGGGGAAGTGTTTACTTTGTTTTTGTTTAGATAAATAAAAGTGTTTTTGTCACAGACGTCATTTGGTTTTCGTTCTTTTATTTATTTAAATATGTCTCCTTCAACAAAAGGAAGAAAAAAAAATTAATAAGTGTTATTTGTGATGAAATAACAATGATAAATACTTGTTCCAGTAGTCTCATATTTTCATCTTTATATTTCAATATAAATAACAGTATCCAGTGGTCATCAACATCGCTCTCGTGAAGAGTTATTTCAGTGCTCTGTATTTCAAATGTAATTTCTTTCATAGTAAATAGAGTTTTCTTTGGTAAATACAAAAATGCCCAACCTAAATATACAAAATGAACCATATAACCCGTAACCACAGAAAAATGTATCTAATTTAATCTCTTTACAATACTTTGCGCATGCTCGATATGTTCAAATGTGGACCTTACTGACCTTACCACACACCTTACCACTAAAAACATCATGGTTAGTAGTAGTTACGTATTTTGGTAACGTATGACGTTATGGAAGTAACCAAACCGTTTAAAGAATTGCTTTGGTTACATAAGTATGTTCTAGTAAGTTATGGTAAGCTTATAAAGAAATGCCTTAATATCCAGCTTGTACGACATCTTACCACAGAATAACCACTATTACAGAAGCGAAGGATTGCTAATTTTTGGGGTCCAACATTTTTTGTGCATGATCAGGGCCGCCATTTTATAACCGGCAAAACTGTCATGTCATATGCGAGTGTTGGAGTGCGTTTAGAAACCACGCACGGCGCGTCTGGACCCTATTCTAATGTATGTGGTGAGACGCGCCGTGCGGGGTTTCTAAACGCACTCTTGTTTTGATGTGTTAAGATCAGTCATTTGTAATTTATGATTTTTTTTTTATCGAATTTTAGTGTATTTTAGTGTTTTCCTTTGTATATTTTTTAACAATTATTGAGTCAATCTGTGTTTAGTGTTTTCCTTTGTCTATTTTATGAACATTGTTTAGTAAACATGTTTTTAATCGAAGACTTTTTGTGGTATGTGCTGAGCTATTTACATATTTTTATTTATTTTATTAAAGCAAAATAATGTTTTAGTGAACTGATGGAATCTAAAAGAAAGAGATGTGTTTATCGCCCATGTCTACCTCGAACGGATTCGAATACTAGTTATTTTTCATTTCCCAAAGTTTCAGAAAGGTATGCAAAATAAATTATGCAATTTAAATGAGGAAAACTGATACCTCTACCTAACAAATAGTTTAAATTTTGATCCAGATATTCAAATTTACCAACGTTATGTGCTACGTTTGAAAAGCACCTCCTGGAGCGGAGTAGAACTAGTAAATTTTTTAATCATGTGATAATCGAGCTTATGTGGAATAAAAGAACAGCTATAGATTTGTTTGTGTTTCCAGTTTCCGGTTTCCATTAAAATAAACTAAAACCTTTCTTTTAAATCAAATTTGATTTCTCTTCTCCTGGTTTCTGTTGCAAGTTGCAAAATAAGGGCATATTCCTTTGTCTAAAATTTTGTGCCTTTTGGTGTGTATTTTTCATATTGAGATTTGTATTAATTTGATTTTTGTAATAGGTGTTTTTCGTATTTTGGTTATTAAAATTAATAGTCAGTATGGGTACGTGTTTTATTTATAACAACCTTTTTCTTACAGTACTTTTCTTCAAATCTCAATTTAATTCAAAGTTCTAATAATTATGCATCTAAAAATGCAAATTTATGTGTACAACAAATTCATATGATAAAAAATGTGTTCCAACATAATCGAGTTCCGAGTTGAGTCCCAATCCCCGACCAGTACCTGACAAGTTGTCACTTACTAGTCATCGACAGATTGTCAACAATAAGTTTTAGACTGGTTTATGTATTGTTCCAAGATCGTTGTTGGAACAAACCTCAATCTAACAGTTTCTCAAAAATTTGTGAATCGATATGACGATACAGAAACGATTCCGGAATCATTCATTTTTTAGTTGGAACGAATTCTTTATCAACCCGCACATCGTACGAATTAAGTTGGAACGCTTGGAGTATAATACGCATGCGCTGTACCGTTACTAAATGGTTATGTATCAAGTTGGAACAAACCTTTATAAACAAATCCTAAGTCCAGTCTGGATTTATGAAATACAGCTACGAGGATGTGCCATAATATAAGTTTTCTAAAATAAAGTCTTAAGATGTATCATTGATGCACCCTGGCTCTATCTAAACGATTATCTTCATACAGACAAATAAGAAAAAGAGGTTACTGCAAAACCTGAGGGTCGACTCCACTCTCACGTTAATGAAGAAGAAAAGCCATTTGAGCTAGTGCAGTGAACGTTAGTGCTAGTGTAAAACAGTGTAATAAATCGATACGCCAATTATTGGTGATGCTTTTCTACCAACGACTACTAGATTATTTTTTGTTTACAAAAATAGAATTGTAAAAAATCACGGATTTATCCACCGAGTTGTCAAATTATTATAAGAGAGTATCGTGAAAGTCTTATTACAAGGATTGTTTATGGTATTAGTGACATATCATAAGGTTCTAAAACACATAAAAGGCTTTCAAAATGACAGTTGGGAAGTATATTTGCATTTTTATTGCCAGTTATTATCAGTTTAATCTATTTTTCTAGATCCAACTATCATAGTTGAAGGTGTTTTCCAGGAAAGTACACAATTAATTAATACATCAATAAATTGTAATAGAATCACTCTGTTAAAGAGTTAATGTTATCTAAGTACAACGAGTATTCAGTCTGGTTCCTCAAGTAAAAACTCTTTTTTAGTTTAGCGATCAGTACAATTTACTTCAAAATAAATTATGGTGAAGTCTTATTTTTCTAATTATATCACTAACCTTCAATTCAGAGAAGAAATAGCGGATGTTGCTAAATAAGTTTGTTACATATATTTAAATCCTTTTCTCAGTGTATTATCCGAATTTATACGAATCTTGGTAATTTTTACCAGTGTAACAACCGGCAAGAACGTCAACTGTCACCGAGTGTCACTTTAAATTTTGGCCACCCCGACATCAAACGTGCCGACGCAAGCCTTCGCTTCTGTAATAGTTATTCTGTGATCTAAACTTAAATATTTTAACGTAAATGACATGTCATATTAAACTTCAAACACTTGAATTTTAATGCTATTTGTTTTCAACGGTAACCTCATGAGACCTTACTTACTGTAAAATTTTCCGAAAACTTTTGAGATATACATTATCTAACTTTCAACATTTGTGGTTTTGTTGTGTGTATAAAGGAATAATAATTACGGTTTATAGACAAACGTAGTATATATTTTTAGCTAACATGTTATAAGAATAAACAGATGTAATACTTACGATATTATAGTAAGGTGAGTTTCGTTGAACAGAAGTTACTGGCGGAGGAGACGCACAACCTTCAGTCATGGGATGTTCGTGGTACATAAAACTATGGAGCATCGTATTTTGAGGTAAAGTGCTAGGCTCTGATAATTGAAACGTTGCATAAGGTGATATGTCCTCAGAAGTCTCTGTAAAATTTGATATTAAAGATTATAATTTTGTTTACAAGCTAAAGGAGAATGGGCAATTTTGCCCCACCTCCCAATAGGAGTAAGATATATACCAAATGAAATATATCGGTAAGGAGAACATTTATTTGTAATAGGAATTATCTCAATTGTTTGTCCGTTCCGAGTTATACAGTGTCTACTTAAGTTGAAACCATATGAAAAACTTTTTTAATATTGGTTTTGTGAAAAAATGTATTCTTGATAAAAAGTTCTACGTGGTCCAAAACTTAAAATGCAATCATCAGATATCAGTTATTTTAAGCAGTATACAAGGTTTGTCAAAAAATATGATTTTTACTCAAGAGTAAAGTACGTTATTTTTTAAAATAGAGAAGAATTTTATAAAGTAAAGTTATTTAGAATTAAAAGTAGTTATATTCAAATATGCAATTACAGTCATTTAGCATAAAAATTCAGGTTATTAAATATAGGTAATTATAAATTAAATAATCACCAAACCTGAAGCTTGGACCATGCAGAACTTTTTATCACATATGAATTTTTTCACAAAACCAATAATAAAAGTTTTCCATATGGTTCCAACTTAAACAGACACACTCTATGATAATGCATGTGATAAAACACAGTTTTTTTTTTGTTAAAAACCGTTTTTGTTAACTTTGAAAGTTCGTTTGTTGATGCTTTAATTTAAATATAGTTTAGCTGAAATCAGCAACGGAGAAACTGTTGTCATGGTAATGACTAAATAAAAACCCAAATTCAGTGGTAAGGAAATGCATAGTTGCCAACTTATATATGATTTATTTAAATTTTAGCTGAAATCAATTTCGAAACAACTGTTGCCTTGTCATTGTAACAACCAAACAAAAACTCAATCTCGATTGGAAAAATTCATTGTTGCCAAGTTATAGATAACTTCAGTTTAGCTGTAAAGACATTTTTCATGCAAGCCATGCACTAGCTAGCATCATTTTATATTGATATTATACTTAAAGTAAAGTAATTAAAACGGTTATGTCTAAAAAAATTTTATTGTTAATACTTTTTAGATAGAAACTTTTTGAAGCACACCGTAAATTCCAAAATATTTTTTTAACTATAGCTCCAATAGATATTCATCTTTCGGTATAAAAATAATTTAAAAAAAATCTTGTCATAGTCTGGACCGACGTATATAGGATGCCCAACAAATGGCTTTACATTCGTTCTAATGTAAATGGGGTAATAATATTTATGATTGTATTATTATGATAGTCCATTACCTTGGTCTTGAACCATTCGTCCCGGTACTTGGGAGGGCATCTATTATGTGGGGCTGTGTAGCCAACACGTAGAGGCCAATTGGTCAGGGATACACGCGGCTGATAAAATCCTCGACAGCATCATATGATATACCCGGATATTATAATTGTTTATATATTTCTAAGAAGTGTTAATTACTATTATTTGCCTGTAATAATCACTACAATAACAGAATATAAGCACTGGCCTATCCTGCAATTAGTTTTATTTAGGATGATATAACTCGGAACGGACAAGTAATTGAGAAGAGTCGTAATAAAGAGAAATGTTCTCCTTAAAAAGATCTTTCAATTGGTATATAACTTATCCTTATTGAAGGTGGCGCAATTTCCTATACATTTCTGCCCAGTGTCCTTTAATTTTTAAAACAATAACATCAAAGTTTCTTTCACTTGTGGACCAATCCTGCATTTAAAAGTGTATTCACAAGCCGACCCTGTAGGTTATCTTAAACTGTTCATAAATTTAAATAACATTAGAGATCAATGTAATGCATAATTTAAAAACATTTAATACATGAGAAAACGCAATTTAACTAACATGGAGATAAATAAAGATGGTGTCACCTCACCAGAGCTGTGGTAACATAAAAGCACTCGCGACTAGCCAATAGGCGGAGAAAAGGTGGTTCTGTCAAAAAAATAGATAATTAAAGTTCAAGGCGACAGGTAAATTGGCGCGAGTATTTATAACACAAGTCTTCCAACTAACCTTCAACTTACCAATAGATTAACATTAATCACGGCATTAAGCAAAAATACAAAGATCAATAATCTTAATTAAGAAAATTGTGAATTTACTATCGAGAAATCGCAAAAAGAAATCCGAAAAATCAGTACATCTGAAAAATTAGTGGAAAATTTGGAAACAAATCTCACCAATCCCCCAACGAATTATTAAGACCATCCCCGGACTCCAAAGGTGAAAATAAATACTTGTAGATTTAAAAAAAAACTTGTCGTCGCTGGTGGTCAAACCTAGACGTCCATGTATGGTAGACATGTGTCCTTACCGTTAGACTATCAACGATATTGACTGTCGAGATTCTTAAACGGAAATTTGATGTGCTAGTTCTGGCCAAACAACTTTCAGGTTCTTTCTCAAATTTACAAATACCTCCAATACAGCATCGGTGTATATGAGCAATTCATTTATGGATACTAAGCCCATATCTTCGTATGCGTAAGATAAGTTTTCAATATACGTTAAGAGACGTACACCTGTGTGAACTTACTATCGATAAATCGCATATCGAAATTCGAAAAAAACAGTATATCTGAAAAATAAGTGACTGAAATTTTTTTTGTAAATTTGGAAACAAACCTCACCAATCCCCAACGAATTATTAAGACCCTCCCGCACCTCAAACAGTTTCTTTAAATTGAAGAATACAGTTTTTTAAAACGGTAATTTCCGCCCATAAGACAGAAGTGTTAATATTCAAAATTTCACGATATTGCTCAATGAATTCCGCTGAACCCTCAAAATCTAACTAAAAAAATTATCCATAGAATTGGGAAGCACCATACTTCCTGATGAGAACCTTTTGTTTAGAAACCCTTTTACAGTATCAATAATTCGGTAGAAAATGTTTGCCCTCCAATACTCAATTACTCCGATATTAGCTCTAGAGATTGTAGCGTCTATAGCTTTGTTCGGCTTACTTTTGAGGACGGTTTAAAATCATTATAATCATGCGCATTTAAATTTACGTGTTCGGGTTTCTCCAAATCTAGTCCTAGGACACTCTAGGATTGACTGTTTCGTGTGTAATTTAGTGCTCAACTAATTTCACGCAGTTCTGAATCGTTCTGAAACGTTATAAAATTGGTAAGCCGAACAAAGCTTATGTAAACCTAGTTCTATAGTTGTTTCGGTGACGAAATCAGCGAACTTGCAGCTGACTTGGTTTTTTGTTTTGATGAGGGAATTTCCAATGACACTTGATATTTTTCAGCAAAGTCCGAAATTTTTAGATGAAGTAAGTAAGTAAGTAAGTAAGTAAGTAAGTAAGTAAGTAAGTAAGTAAGTAAGTAAGTAAGTAAGTAAGTAAGTAAGTAAGTAAGTAAGTAAGTAAGTAAGTAAGTAAGTAAGTAAGTAAGTAAGTAAGTAAGTAAGTAAGTAAGTAAGTAAGTAAGTAAGTAAGTAAGTAAGTAAGTAAGTAAGTAAGTAAGTAAGTAAGTAAGTAAGTAAGTAAGTAAGTAAGTAAGTAAGTAAGTAAGTAAGTAAGTAAGTAAGTAAGTAAGTAAGTAAGTAAGTAAGTAAGTAAGTAAGTAAGTAAGTAAGTAAGTAAGTAAGTAAGTAAGTAAGTAAGTAAGTAAGTAAGTAAGTAAGTAAGTAAGTAAGTAAGTAAGTAAGTAAGTAAGTAAGTAAGTAAGTAAGTAAGTAAGTAAGTAAGTAAGTAAGTAAGTAAGTAAGTAAGTAAGTAAGTAAGTAAGTAAGTAAGTAAGTAAGTAAGTAAGTAAGTAAGTAAGTAAGTAAGTAAGTAAGTAAGTAAGTAAGTAAGTAAGTAAGTAAGTAAGTAAGTAAGTAAGTAAGTAAGTAAGTAAGTAAGTAAGTAAGTAAGTAAGTAAGTAAGTAAGTAAGTAAGTAAGTAAGTAAGTAAGTAAGTAAGTAAGTAAGTAAGTAAGTAAGTAAGTAAGTAAGTAAGTAAGTAAGTAAGTAAGTAAGTAAGTAAGTAAGTAAGTAAGTAAGTAAGTAAGTAAGTAAGTAAGTAAGTAAGTAAGTAAGTAAGTAAGTAAGTAAGTAAGTAAGTAAGTAAGTAAGTAAGTAAGTAAGTAAGTAAGTAAGTAAGTAAGTAAGTAAGTAAGTAAGTAAGTAAGTAAGTAAGTAAGTAAGTAAGTAAGTAAGTAAGTAAGTAAGTAAGTAAGTAAGTAAGTAAGTAAGTAAGTAAGTAAGTAAGTAAGTAAGTAAGTAAGTAAGTAAGTAAGTAAGTAAGTAAGTAAGTAAGTAAGTAAGTAAGTAAGTAAGTAAGTAAGTAAGTAAGTAAGTAAGTAAGTAAGTAAGTAAGTAAGTAAGTAAGTAAGTAAGTAAGTAAGTAAGTAAGTAAGTAAGTAAGTAAGTAAGTAAGTAAGTAAGTAAGTAAGTAAGTAAGTAAGTAAGTAAGTAAGTAAGTAAGTAAGTAAGTAAGTAAGTAAGTAAGTAAGTAAGTAAGTAAGTAAGTAAGTAAGTAAGTAAGTAAGTAAGTAAGTAAGTAAGTAAGTAAGTAAGTAAGTAAGTAAGTAAGTAAGTAAGTAAGTAAGTAAGTAAGTAAGTAAGTAAGTAAGTAAGTAAGTAAGTAAGTAATAAAGAGAGGACAGTAAACAATGTTTGTGTCGCCATGATAATATGGTCGAGAATTCTAATTAGAGAGAAATAGATTAATATCTCTATCTCTTTGTTTGTATTTGTCAGTTTGACAAAGCTTTTCTCAGACAATTATTCCAGTGTTTAAGGTAAATTTGTTCGTGTTGTGGTGTTAAAAGAAATTGTTATTAATATTATATTCATAACAAAAAAGTCATATTTTGTTTTCACTTCATTAAAAATGCACCTACCTATCTTTTAAAACATTTTATTTTATATTCTACTTGGTCAAAATTTTCGCATTTAAAATGACCCAGCGAAATTGTTTTACGGTACGCTACTGCTGAGAATTCTAAAACGAGTGAGAAAGCCTTCATTAGAAAGAGAGATACTGATTATATGATAGCGATATTAATATTGTATAACTTTATGCAGTGGTGGCCTTTCTGATATTATATTATCTAAGGGTCAAGTATAGTATTTTTCGTTTCTCATTTCATCTAGTGAATTAATGATGCATTTAATAACGTTAATTGCTTTTACCCAGCGTCGCGCCTTTCTCCTAAAGGCTTTTTGATAACAAATTTATTTAGTATCCCGTCTAATACAAAAAAGATGAATTATGAATAAAGGTTGTTTAATGCTGGATAATATGCCGATTGCTGTGAATGAGTCTTTATCATTTTTATTAGTAACTTCGTTTTCCCAAGCATTGACAATTCGCTCGAAACATGTTTTAATAGCGACACACCCAACGAGTATCGGACATATTTTTCAACTCTCTGAGGACATTATTGAGGTCTTTTAATATATGTTTGTATTTGGTATGGTTCTGTGAATCTGAGAAATGTTCGTAAATTGCTTCCAAAGTACAAAAAAATGTCGATATCGATGGAACATTTTTGAGTCTACCACAGCCAAGTCTATAAGCTAAGCAGTGCGTGTAAAATGCAGCTGCCCAGACAGCAAAAATAAATTCACTGCACGTCCATTCGATATACAATTTTGATACGCAGTTTTTTATTTAAATCTTTCAGGGGGAGGTGGGCAGAGGTACATCAGGAGGGGCCAGGCCCCCCTGGCCCCTCCCCAGCTACGCCAATGGTAATACCGCAGTTAATATTACAGGTAACTACATTACCAACAGAGTAGATTAGTTCAACCACCCGCACCCACAGGTCGCTGCAAGCAAACTTGTTGCCAACTTTCTACAAAGACACGGCAACTCTTAACTATGCTTCCTCCATGGGTCGGCTTATGTTTTGCAATCTTAAATGCAGGCGAACAGTTATTAAAACGATACAGAGTAAGATCAGAAAGTAAAGAGTCAACGAACATACCTGGTATTTTCTCTCCAGCTTGTAAAGCTACTTTGTGAATCGTTGCATAGTACCTCTCCCTTTGCGCTTCAGCGTTCTGTTGGTTATCCAGCTGCTCCTTCGCTGATTCGTTCTGGCCTGTAATGTAACCTTAATTTTAACATTCGTAATTGTATTCTGAGATTAAAATACTTACGACGTTTCATGCACAGTAACGCTCCCGCCACAGAAACGATTATCGCTATAAATAATACTATTAGCGGTATCAAAACTTTTAAGTCCGAGTAGAACGGCGAGTCTTCGTTACCCTGTTTCATTAAGTCTGGGGGTGGTACATCTAAAAGAAAAAAATACGAAAATAATACTTGAATGAATCGAGAATCGAACTTTCGTTTTTAATGCTGGGTTCTTATTTGGAAAAAGACGAAATAAAGCATTTAATTAAGGGTACTTATAAATATTTTTACCTCCGTCCTTGGTTAATGTCATAAAATGAAATTCTTCGGTAGAAAAACCGGCAACGTTGTGTGCTTCCAACTTGACAGTATATTGTGTGGCAGGCGTCAATCCGGTTATTGAGGTTTTCCGTTGTGGTTTCAATGCATTTGACACTAAAAAATTAAAATAAGAAAAATTGTAAAACATAATTATACTATGTGAAGGATATAAGACATTTTCAATACTATAATAGTTTGGGACTTATAGTTGGACCTAGTAGGACTGTGTTATGTATCACCAAAGATATCGGATAATAGATACGCCTTGTATATATTACACTTGTCCGCAATTTTTTTTTTGACGAGACTCTTCCTATGTTGTCAGATCTCTTTCATCAAATATCAAGCATTAAATTTTTATTAAAAAAGTTACTATTCTCTTTAATACACTCAAATGAAAAAAGGAAATAAAGAATTGACATCATCAATATAAGTTTTTTATTAATTGCAATCACTTAAGACTTTTATTTAGCTATTTTTACATGTGTATCATATGGGAATATTAAACATTCTGGTATACAGGATGTTTCATAATATATACGCAGGACTTCAGGACGTGATAGCTCGTCCAAAAATATGAAAAAACGTTTCTATTAACTTACCCTCTAAAATGCACTATTTTCGAGATACAGGGTGTTGAAATTGAAAAAAAAGTTTCTACGCCACTGAGAAAAATACCATTTGAACCGCCAATGTTTTCTACACAAAAAAGGTACTCTTGGTCATACGCTCTAAAGTCGACCGCTTTCGAGAAAAATCAAATTTTAATAAGAAATGAATCGAAAGTATTTAAAGTGTGTAGATAGAGTTTTATTAATAAAACTCAATAATATTAGTCTAAGCGCTTTCGGCCTGTTAGGCCATCATCACAGACTCTACAAAAGAGAGAAAAAACGGAGATGTAACATTATAATCAAATCGTGATATTTACGATGGGGAGGAAATGTATAGCGTGCCGAAATACGCAGAATAAGAATGTTATTCGGTCATTTCATAAGTAAGATTATGTTAGCATAGACGTAGGCATATACAGGGAATAAGGCTTAATTTTTTTAACAGTGTAAAGGCATATGCTTGGTGGAGGAAGACATTATGAAAATTAAAGAAGCCTTAGTATGTTCTGTCCATTTTGGTATGGCAGATATTTATAAAAATTTAAGTGGTAGACACACCTTAAAACAATACTATTGTAATGAAGTCAATTTTCATTACTATATTTCGGCCTATTCCGGATATAAATTTCAATTTTTATTTTTTATTTTTATTTTAACTTCATGGGTAGACCCTGTATATAAAATTTTGTTTCATTTAAATACGCGTATTTTACATTTTACCTGAGTAACGAAAGCGCGCGCGCTTCGCGCACATCAAGTGGGGAGCTAGCCTGCTTGGGCATAGAGACTGGAATTCAGATTGGGTATTAAAAATCCAGTGTTGCCAACTTGGGGGTTTCCCCCCCAGATTTAGGGGGTAAATAAATGGGATGGGATTTTTTTAGGGGATTTATATTGTTAGGGGTATTTTTAGGGATTTTTGACTCTTAATATTTATTACTTTTTTTATTGCAAAAAATAAAAATGTAAAAGTAGGCCCTGGGACAATCCAAACAGAATCCAAACGAGCCTATTGTGTCAATAATTGTCATGTGTCATGTGTGATTGTTGTTTACGGCCGAATAGCGAGGCCACAAATACAAATGGAGAAGAAGAAGATTCTGAAGATTGTTGTTTACGTTTGGACTACTACAAAACATTATTCGAAACCATGAATGATAGCAAGGTTCCAAAAAAAAAAATTCAAGGACTTAGCGGAACCCGGTGGCTCGCTCGCTATCAAGCTATTAATACAATCTTGGAGCAATGGGAAGAATTGAAGCTGCTCTTTTCGATTGCTAAATCTGAAAACAAATGTTGCATGGCAGAACAGCTTTATGATATCATGCGAAGGCTTCCTTTCAAAGCTTTTTTGATTTTTCTCAGAAATGAATTAAAAAATGTTACTCAATTAAATTTACTTTTCCAAAGTGATAATGTTGAGCCTACAAAATTATTTGAAGATTTGTTTTTATTATACAAAAACTTGTTAAGACGACTTGTTGTACCTTATAAATTGGAAAAATTGGTGGACTCCGAACTGCTAGAATTTAATTTCCGCGAACATTTGATGCATACAGCTTCAATATATTTTGGTTTTGATTTTCAAAATATATCTCAAGAACTTGAAGAAAAGGATTTGTTGGATGTCAGGGAACGATGCAAGAACTTTTTATGTTGTCTGGCCCAGGAAATTCAGAAAAGGCTTCCGGATAATTTATCAATGTTAAAAGTAGTTGCTGATTTGCACCCGAAGGTTGCTACGTCTCAAGTCAAACCTGACATTAAACCAATATTGAATCATATTCATCGAAATCACCTTTACGGCAATAAAAATGACATCGAGTCTGAGTGGCACCAATTGAGCAACAAAACATGGACGAATATTTCTACTTCAGCTGATTTTGATTATGAAGTTTATAATGATTGTGACGCAGCCATAGATGGACGCAGCTGGCTGTAAACGCTTTGAAAATGTTTCAAAATTTGGATTAGCATTTGTCACAGTTCCAATTTCAAACGCAAGTGTCGAACGTGCATTCTCCATCTATAATATAGTTAAAAATAAGCTGCGGAATAGATTATCTATTGAAATGTTACAAAGCTTGATGATGGTTCGATTCACACTAAATCGAAATGGTGGATCTTGCACAACATTCAATCCGTCCCCTGAAATGTTAAATTTATTCAATTTAAATATGTACGACTTTAAAAAATCTGAATGTTCTGAAGACAACGAAATTTTATTTGATGTATTAAATAATTTATAAAAAGTATAACAGTATATTATTTATTATTTTTATTTATGAATAACAACAAGTATTAAAAATGTGTTCAGCGGGAATATTTAAATTTTATGTTAGTCATGCTAAAGATGTCAACGTCATTATTGTCAATGTCATAGGAGAGAGATGTAGTTCGTTTTTCGATTCTTCTGTTTCCTAATAAAACCGTTTAAAAATTATCATTGTGAGACCACCCACCCTCTCAAAAAATATTAAAACATGTAATTAATTATTTAAAAAAAATTTAGGGGGATTTCCAAGTAATTGGAACGATTTTAGGGGTTTATGACTTATGGATTTTAGGGGTTTATGACTTATGCTTTAGGGATAAATATTTTTGCGAGTTGGCAACTCTGTAAAAATCATTCAATTCACGTTACCGATTCGACTAACATCTGCTGCTTTTGCTCCGATATACACCGCTGAAAATTATCGCCGATACCGTAGTTAGGTACATCGAATTTGTTTACATATTTTTTTGTTGTCGACGGTTCTTGAGTTAAAACGTTCGAATACCGGTTTCATTTGAAATAATTATTCCGTTTTCGATTTTATTTAAGAGAAATAATAATTGATTTCAGATTTTCGTTAAAAATATTTTGATTTACAGATAAATTATTTAGTTAAAAACAAAAAAAAAAGAATTCAATTGACTTTACTGATTCGACTAACATCTGCTGCTTTTGCTCCGATATACACCGCTGAAAATTATCGCCGATACCGTAGTTAGGTACATCGAATTTGTTTACATATTTTTTTGTTGTCGACGGTTCTTGAGTTAAAACGTTCGAATACCGGTTTCATTTGAAACAATTATTCCGTTTTCGATTTTATTTAAGAGAAATAATACCTAATTGATTTCAGATTTTCGTTAAAAATATTTTGATTTACAGATAATTTATTTAGTTTTGATTTTATTTAGAAACATTGAAAATTAGTTTTTGGTTATTAGGAAATAGAAACTTTGTTTCTATTTTAATAATTAATTAATTTTATTACGACCGTGAATTGTGTTTCTATTTTACAGTAATAGTAAACCTAATTTCAAATTAAATTCCGTATACAGTTGATTAGTTAATTTTCATTGCGACCGTGGATTTTGTTCCTAATTTTTTTTTAAGTAATAATAAATTTAAATTTAAATTAAATTCCGTACATAGTTAATTATTTAACTTTTACCACGACCGTAAATTTTGTTTCTATTTATTCACAATCTGGTTTAACTTTTTTTTATTTATGTTTCTTTACTTGGGAATAGAATTAGTTCGAAAGTTGGAAAGTTGAAATAGTATCATTTTTCATGTCGAGTGGACTGGTTGTGGCGAGAAAGCTCACATGGGATTAGATACTATCCCGGTTTTAGATTTTATTTAGATTAACCCCTATCCGTGATTAACATATTAGTGTTTTTCTTATGTTTGAGAGTGCTGGTTGTGGCGAGTACACTCATCATAGGATAAATACTGACCCGGTTTGATATTTTGTTTTGTGTTTGAGTGGGCTGGTTGTGGCGAGTACACTCATCATAGGATTGAATACTAACCCGGATTTTGATTATTTTCTTTTAGTTACCTCCGCGCCGTGATTAAAATGATAGTATCATTTTTATGTTGAGCGTGCTGGTTGTGGCGAGTGCACTCCTCATAGGATTGATACTATCCCGTTTTCTTATCATTTATCTATTCCCCATTCACTAAAACAAGGAGGTTTGTTTCAGTTTCAATACCGACTAGAGAGTTAACCAGATAACTTTTTCTACGACCGTGATTTTAATTTTTTTTTTACGAAACAAAATATTTAACTGTAATCTTTATGCCGATTTAAGAGTTAACTAATTAACTTTTGCTACGACCGCTAATATTTGTTTTTGGTTTCGTTTTGACTCAACCACCGATCCGACAAATTTATTAATTAGATACTATTGCCACCGAGCATCTTTCTTCTAATTTTAATTCTACCGTCTGATTGAGACTAATCATTACTGGCCGATCTGTTTGTTTTTATTTTGTTCAGGGTTTTAAAATTACGAGCGGGGGTGGGCGTTGAAATATTTATTTATTTTTTTTATTGTAAATAGTTAAAATTCAATATATGTGTCAACGTTACCTTGACTGTTACTGAGGTTACTGATCCCTAATTTACTTCCCCCTTTATTTCAGCAGTGAGAAATTCTTTATCACTACAAGTGACGATTAAAGCCCGTTACTTGTGGTTACTTATTACCTGTGTCTGAGTGACCAACGACCCCTGGAATTTTTCATCTCCATCTGTGCTGCCCGAGTACTTTCGACGCCGTTTCGAAAGATTGTGGAGTAAACCACACATCAAATCTGGCGCCCGAGAGCCGTCCCGTCAACAGGCGTCATTTGTAAGTAATCGTTTTCTCTGAGGCGAGAAAACCCCTTACACTATACCTATCAAGTGAGTACAATATATATTAAGGGCGTTTTTATAATATGTAAGCTTTAAAATCATCACATTTTACAGAATTTTGGAAGAGGTAGTTGAAGAGGGGAAAAATGAAGAAAAAATGACTGCATCACCACTTAATCATTTATATTGAGAGAAGCATACAAATTGTAAATTTATTTTTTATAGAGTTCTAATGTAAGATAAAGAGTTGCTACTTATTTTTTTTTGACCCCAAAAATCTGTTAACTGTGTTTTCTTTTACTTTTAAAACTATATATGGGTTCAATTCAAAAAAAAAATTTGCCACAAAATTGTACTTATCAAATTTCAGCAATTAAGAAACCTTTTCGAATTTGGTTATACACACCTAATTTGTATTTTATATAGATAAAATTAAATAATTTATCAATTAAAACATGCAAGACTTATTTAGAATTAAATACAACAGTATGTTCTGTACTTTATTTGGCTGTAAACAAGTTTATTTTTATTATTTTGACAAAATTATGTATAATTTCCATAAGAAGCCATGTATTTTAAACAACGTATGCAGTACCAGCGCCTCATGCGGTTAATTATAAAAGCTCAATTAGCATGCGTTTTTTGGGACCGTATTTTGAGTATGCCGATTCGTCTCCTTATCTCTAGTCTTCATACTGGCAGCACATACTTTGATTTTCTCTTACTATACGGAGAATGGTCGCGCTGCGCAGCTTTCTGATTGCCTTTTAACAGGAGATAGAAAACTCCGCCATTTTGATGCCTTATTACGTGTTGCCCACATCTTGGAGAAATATTTTTAATATTTTGCTTGCTGCTGTCAGTGTCAGTGAATATTATTTTTGGAGTCACAGTTTATTGCTAAAGAATCAGTTAGCTCACTCGGAGCAGTTGAAAGTTCCAAAATAACATCCACTCCAAGGATACAAATTCAGGATGCGCAAAAGACTGCTGTTTTATTATAGACGGTTGTCATATATTGTATTATCCGAGTTGCGCAGTGTATAAACTGGAACATTGAGTTCAAAAGTGCCGACGCAGAGTGAGCGAACTGATTCTTTAGTAAAGGCATCAAAATGGCCGCGCCCTTATGTTGGGCGTGTCGGACCTCTCTCTTGCACCGTATAGTGACTGGCAGCTATTGTCAATATCTACATTCACAAAACAAAAAACCTATTGCTTAAAACTAAATTTTCAATTGTGTCAAAGCCTTAATGCGCCGTCAAATAGATGAACAAAAACAGAGTTTTATTTATAAAATTAGTAATATCGATATCAGTTATTTTATGCGAAAACGATTCCTATGAAGATTATTCTAGTGAAGATAATTCCAATGGAACGTACAGCAAGGAAAACAATTCTTCTGGTTCTACATCTACGACCAAACTATTTTCTTGCAATTCACACCCTACAGTCGATCCCATATACGTGGTCGCTTTAACGAATTTTTGGGGTTACCATATGTGTAGTGGTACCATGATTAGTCGAAGATTGATTTTAACAGCGGCTAATTGTTATGATAAGGAAAGAAACATATATGCCTGTGATGCCTATACTAGAGGTAGGGAGTATTTTGTGATACTCACTTCATTCATTTAAAATCTTTATTCACCTGTTAAAATATCTTTTTGTTACATCAACATAAAACTTAAAAACTAATTGTACACAGTACAATAAGTGACCCTAGTGGTAAACCGCTGAGGCCTAAGACGGTTTCCCGCCTGTAATATGCCGTGCATTTTCGTCATGATGTGATAACTATGACATAACCGCCCTTACTCCTTACCTTTGGGGTATTATTAAGGGATTTGGAAGGATATGAATCGGTAATTGTGCGTATAAGTAGATTTGTCTTGTCTTAATTTTGTATTGTCCCCTGAAAAGCTAGGAAAAAACAGGGTTGTCGTTTGTGGTATGAAGTCTTGTACTTGTCTGTGGTTTTTTGTCATAATTCACTGAGAGGGTGGACTATAAACCACCCGGAAGTGCCGCGATCGAGGAGCAAAAATCGCTCTCGCGCGCGGCCCTGCCGGTCGGTTGATAGTTCAGTCCTCCGTCAAACTAGATTTCGTAAATATCCAGTCCGTGTGAATTATTGTTTAGTGAGGATCATACACTCTGTCATAATACCTATCCTCATGTACGCATCGACGGCATGGGGATACACCTGTACAACTAACAGAAAGAAGATCCAAAGCCAGCAGAACATCAGCTTAAGATGGGCCTCAAACGCTTACAGATATACCCGAAATGACGTTATTAGGAGGGATCTAGAATCCAAAAGGGTTCTAGACCTCATACACAAGAAGGCCACAGACACCTTCGAAAAATTAAAAATTAAAATTAAATTAAAAATTAACACACCCGAACATTGAGATAAGAGAACTCACAGAGTACGAATGAGCGGATTATAGAAGACACGCCAGACCACGCAAGGTGCTGGACTATGGCGGCGAGTGATTGACCCTTGGGTGCAAAATTCAAGAGTCTCATAGATTTAAGATTTTTCTTTCAGCGTTCTCTTTCAGCATTCTCTTTCAGAATACCAGACAGCGCATCACGCGATTCAGACAAGGACTGAGCAACTGACGACTAACCACCTGGGGACGAAGGTCCCTCCAGTCGCCAAGTAGGAGACTGGGGGAGCTTTCACAGGTGGCGACTTTCACAGAACGGCACACACATGACAAATAAACGGACGACGAAACAGGGAAATGCCCTCAGCAAACCCTGTCTAAATGCTGATAATATGTCATCCTTCACAGCCCTGTCAGAAGGAATGCCATACTAATCATAGGATGGAGAATTGAGGCCCCCTGAAGCGAAGTTTATCAGGGGGGTGGTGGTCGTCAGAAGGGTTCTGATCCAGTTTAACAGAATGGAAACCTTCCCGACTTGGGCTCAATTACTGTGCGTGTGTGTGTGTATTGTTTAGTATTGTTTAGTATTGTTTGGATTGTCGTGGGTCCTGTTACTGTCGTCATATATGCCCAGATTTTGATGTACGCAACCGTATTTTCTACGCACGCCGTCTCCCTGGTGGATTTGAATGATGCTATCCCTCACATCCTCCGAGAGGCATCGCGGGTAGAAGTTTTCTGCTGAATTTATAATGAAATCTTTGATCATTGGCATATTTGTCGTCTCGTAAATGTATCGTATTCTAGCATAGCGATCGTATCCAAGAGCTAGCCTCAGACATCTGTTTTGTGCCCTTTGCAGGGATTTAAAGTAGGAATTAGCCATAGAACAGTACACTGGACAAACATACGTTAAAATTGGCCTGAATATTGTTTTATGTAGTAAAAGTTTGTTCGACAGAGACAGCCCGCTTCGTCTATTCATTAATGGGTACAAAGACCTCAGAATACCCGAATTTTTGGCAATTCTGTCGTTTATGTGGGCCACAAACCTTAATGTCTTGTCCAGCCGAGGACCAAGATATTTTACCTCGCTTTTGATTGCGATTGGTTGGTTTTGTATTACGAGGGGCGTGTATATGCCTTGGGCATGCCTCTTTGAAATCAGCATTGATTCCGTTTTACTGGAGTTTATTTTCATCTTGTTTTTGGCTAAATAATTCATCAATGGTCCGTTAATATGATTATCCAGCTTTCTATTCGCTGTTTCTGCTGACTTGTGACTAGTGAATACGCAGATGTCGTCGGCGTACAACGCCGTTTGTACCCCATTATGTCCCATTGATAAATCAGAGGTTCTAATGGTGTACAAATGCGGCGATAGTACTGAGCCCTGTGGTACTCCCGCCATTGCTAGGAAAGGTCCTGTTATTGTGGAGTTTATTTTAACGTTGAATTTTCTGTTTGTAATATATGATAAAATTATTTTAACAATGTGCCCAGGAAAGTCATTCAAAAGCATTTTGTAGATTAAACCGCGGGTCTAGACGGTATCAAAGGCTTTTTCGCTATCAAGCGCCACGAGCACCGTTTGCAGGTCCTGATTAAACGCCTCTTTGGCGTGATGTACGATCCTCAGAACCTGGGCCACGGTACTGTGCCCCTCTCTGAAGCCGTACTGTTCCCGCGGGATAATCTGCATTCGTTGTTCTGTTGATTTTAAGCATCGTAAAATACTGGGATAGTGTTGTAGTCTGAAAATGGCATTTATTATATGGTAGATCTGCACGATAGCTTTTCGACTGAGGTTTTTTTAGTAATATATTGCTAACGTCGTCCGGTCCCGGAGCTTTTCTATTTTTGAGACACTTAATTACCTCACATACATCTCTAGGAGTGGTTAGAAAAGAGTGAGGCAGTAAAAGTGGTTTTATCTGTTCAGAAGCATCGACGATGTTTTCGATGCGCTGCTGTTGCGGATCATTGACCTCGTTGTTTACAAATTGTGATTGAAAGAGTTCGCCTAGGGCTTGACCTTTGTCTTCGTTTGTCGCTAGTAGTTCCTGTCCTCGTTTCAGTGTGGGGAGCAGCGAATAGGGTTTTTTATACCTTTTCACTACTTTCCACAGAGAATTGTCTTTCGGCTTTAACTCTGATAGGGTTGTTTGCCATTTGTTATTTCTGTGTTGTCTTATCATTGTGTTTATATTTGTTGCTAAATTTAACATCATTACCCTATCATAGTTTTGCCGGTGTAACTGCCACCTTTTTCTAAGTCGGTTCTTGTTGTTTATTAAATCTGTTATTTCGGGTGGCAGTGTGAATTTGTTTTACGTGTTGTTGTTTCGTCTCTAGCTTTTTGTATGTTTTGTATTATTGTTTTCGTTTCGTTTTCTAGAGTTTCTACATTTGGAATGTTGTTATTGATTGTTATGAAGTTGTCTAATTTGTTTCTGTATATTGTCCAGTTTGTAGATTTGTAATCGTAAAATTGTGTTTTTTGTCTTTGTACTTTGTTTGTTGTCCATAGTTCCAAGTACACTGGATCGTGGTCTGAGTTGAGTGTTGTTATAGTTCTCATGTTTCGTATATCGGGTATATTCTTAGCAACAGCAATATCCAGTGTACTGGGACTATATGCCGGGTTTGTCGGAAAGTATGTCGGTTCTTCAGTGTAGTGTATTATTAGATCGTTTTCCTCGGCGAAATCTCTCAATACTCTCCCACTTGCATTGTAGTTCGCACAATGAGAGTCCCACTATTCATGTTTGGCATCAAGGTCCCCTGCTAGAAAAACACTGTTTCCTTTTGACATTAGCCTGTGTAGATCTCTATCTAATAGTGTAATCCGAGGTGGATTATACGCTCCTATTAAAATAATTTTGTTTACCTCTATAGTTACATGTTCAAAATTTTCTGTAATATTTAATTTTGGAATTTCTTTAAATGTCAATTCTTTTTTAATAATGATAGCTACCCCTCCAGAAGCGTTTCTGAATTGTCTAATGTCCCTGTCTTCTCTAATTACTGTGTAGTCATAAATTTTTATGCCTATATAGAGGTAGGGTAGTATTTTGTTATACTCGGAACTATTTAATTATGTAAATAAGTAACTGAAATAGCTGGTTCTGGTACCCATCTGGTAAAAGGAGATATAACTATGAGCAGATTATTAGAGAATTGGACAGTTCTGAGTAAATATTAAAGACGAATGTCTGTATCTATCTGAACAATATAAGTTACATTTATCAATATCAATCCTTAGAAGACATTATTGACCCAAAGAACATCTTAAGAAACTTGAAATACTAGAAGAAATTTTATATTTATATTTTGTGTTTTCTTGATTGATTTATAAATCCTCTGTGGACCTCTCACTGTTTAAGTCTACAAACTTATCTCGTTTCAGATCAATACATTAAAAATAATGGGTTGCTAAGTTTTTGGTGTCCGACAACGAGAGTGTACAAAGTATACAACCATCCACGATTTAATAAGAAAACCCTGATGCATAATATTGCAATTATGAAACTAATTGGACCATTGTATAGCACGAATTTGTTGTATGTCAATCTTCCTAGTTATCATCCGCAAGATATTTTCGATTTTTGTCCTCAAGTTACTTTAATGGGTTGGGGAAGGAAGAAAAGGTCAAATCAACCTAACCGAAAGTTAAGGTAAGCTTTAAGCAGGGTTGATCATTAACAATATAAGTTATGTGTAGTGCAAAAAGACCAGCCAGCAGCAACACTCCGTGTCATATTGCTTTCGACATTCTACAATCGATTTCTACTGTAGAATTCTATAAACGATTTGCCAGTACTCCGTGTAGTGTGTAGTCGAAAAATCAAAGCTAGAATCTCCTTATAGATTAAATACAATTTATATTTTGTTTTCTTTTAAGTTGCATAGATTTAAGCACAATTCCTTTGCAAGACTGCCAAAATCATCAGTTAGTTTCGATCTACAGTACTTGCACGAAAGCTACGATAGTGGAAGATAGTTGCTTAGGAGATCTTGGTTCTCCCTTGATGTGCGGAGATACCCAATACGGAATTTTATCTCACATAATGGATTGCAAGGGTAGATGGCCAGGTGTTTATACAAGAGTGGATGAATATTTGAATTTTATCGAGGACAGGAAGCTAAGAAGTGCAGGATCGCGAGTACTTTGCGCAAAATTTTTAGTTGTTCTAGTTTTATTTACGTGTAGAATAAATTTCTTTCATTTTTGATGAATCGTTTTTGTTCGATGGGTCTAGAGCTGGATTTATACTGACATTGACACAAATGACAGGTACGTGACGATTACCCTTGGGCAGATATAAGGGATATAAAGATAAGAAGCCCATGCTTAATAATGACCAGCTCTAACGCAGTTAACATCTGACCCACTATGTGGCGGTTTCATCGATATCAAAGAAATACGCAGCGGGAAATTTATAAAAACCTGATAAAGGTTGAATAAATATCAATTGCACTCTCATGTTCTAGTAAATAAATTTAAACAATGTAATTATGCTAAATTATTTATTAAAAAGGATACTACACTAGTCTATTATCGATTAATTATTGTAAATCTATTCATGACAAATATTTTTTGATCGTTATTTGTAACTTTAAAATTTTTGTTCTTATTTTCCAAACGAATATCTTATTTAAAAATGTTGGAGTGCAAATTCAATAATGGGAATTCAGATATTTTTCTTCCTATATTAAATCTTCTCTCTAACGTTTTGAAGACATTTTCTTGTACTAAAAAAATAAATACCTACTTTGTGACAAAAGTTGGCTACTGTTTGTGTTACTTACATGACTAGATCTAACTTTGGTAAATTAAAGAACGCCACATTGGGGTTGTTAAATTTATTCATGTGGCATGTGTTACTAATGCAATAGATTCTCCGACTTATATTACAAAATATAATTACTGTCCTCAAATTTCACACAAAAACAACTACAATCATTTCGATTAGAAGAAGGAAAAGGAAAGTCGTAGGAAGGAAGAGGAGGAGGAAAAAGAAAGGCGTAGAAAAGCTGAGGTAGAAATTATAAATGCTTTGCTACAAATCCAGGAAACCTTCAAGCAAAAGGTTGGTCAGCTTAAAATTAGAGTAGATCTGTTAGAGCAACAACAAGTGCATTTAAAAACAAATTTAGAACAGCAGCAAGAGTATTTAAAAACTAATTTAGAACAACAACGAGAGAATTTAAAACAACAGGAAAAGGCTAGAGTAGAGTTCGAAAGGCAAATTAAAACTGAACTAGTTGAGTTAGAAAGAAGAATTCGTAGGCTAGCTTCGATAAGCAATGGAGAAGCTGAAAACACTACCTCGTCCCCATCTGTAATCGAACCAAGCCATATTCAATACCCAATTTCACAAATCCATACTAGCAAGATCAATAAGCCACCCACGTTTGACGGGCAGACAACATGGAAAACGTACCGCCTCCAATTTGAAGCTGCAGCTAGAGCCAATGGCTGGGCTGAAACGGAGATGGCGGCTGCATTGTTAGTGTCGCTGCGAGGACAAGCATTAACCGTGTTACAGTTACTTCCTTAAGGAGAACCCAGTTATTCATCTCTCGTTCAAGCTTTGGAGACAAGATATGGCCAGCAGCATTTAAAACGGGTATTTCAAAGCCAGCTAAAAATTCGTAGTCAGAAACATAATGCGAGTCTACAGGAATTCGGGGCCAACATAAGAAGATTGATTTATCTGGCCTATCCACAGGCGCCCAAAGATTTCCAAGAACAAATCGGAATAGAGGCATTCATTCATGGATTACAAGATGCGGAAATGCAACAAGTCCTACGTCTTTAACATCACAAGATGCTAAGGGAGAAACTGATTGCAGCCCAGGAATATGAAGCGGTAAAACTCCTATCCAGATCTTCTCGCGCAAAAGTAAGGGAAATTAAATCCCAGGAAAGTGAGGAGGCCAATACTAATGCTATTCCCAAAATCTTAAATGTCCTACGAAATATGCAACGAAACAGCCAAAATGAAAACAGGAGATGCTTCAGCCAAAATGGAAGCAGGAGATGCTTCAATTGCGGGAGAATCGGGCATCTTCAAAGAACCTGTAGAAGCATGACTATAAATCGAGAATCAGCGAAAGAGACCTTAAAATCATATAGATCAATCTTCCCAAGCCCATCACTAAGACCAACAAGAATAAATTACAGCAGCTATGCGTCCCGAAGAAGTCAATTATCCATACCGAGCCGGCTTTCTAACAATAACCAGAAAGTAGAGCATCGAAGAGGTTTCCATAACAATGCAGACATTCTCTTCGGGCTTCGGGCAACCCCGTTTAGAGGAACAATACTGGTATGGTAAAAGGCTCGAAGAACGAGAAGAACCGGTTGATAAAGTTACTCTTCGGGCAACCGCTATCAAGCCAGAGGACGACGAAGAAGAAGTCTGAAACTTAAAGATTGTCCGAGAATGGGTCAAAAATAAAGTTACACCTACTTGGCAAGAGATAGCCAAATACAGTAAAACTATAAAAGGCTACTGGGCCCAGTGGGATTCCTTGCATCTTCACGATGGCCTATTGCACCGGAAGTGGGAGAGCCCCGATAGGGTACATGTAGTCCGCCAAGTGATACTGCCGAGGTCACAGGTGAGAAATGTATTGGAGGAACTTCATAGCAGCCGTTCAGAAGGATACTTTGATATTAAGAGGACACTGTCACGAGTTTGGAAAAGATTCTATTGGGTCAATTGCCGACGGGATGTAGCGGATTGGTATAAAAAATGTGATGTATGCAATGGCAGGACAAAGGTCTATGGATTCGCTCGGGAACGACTGAAAGCCCACACCGATAAAGCAGAAGCTAGAATCGACAGGCGTGGGAAGATAGCTCCATTCCATGGTCCAGATCCTCTCCATTAGTTCCAACTAGGTCCCAGTAATCAAGTTATTTGGGGCGAATAACTGCGGCTATTATAGGAAACGTACAGATAGAAAAAGAAGTCGAATGTTCCTCATCGCCCTCCTGTGTGCTGCGGTCGTTATAAGTAAAAGTACAAGTAAAAGAAGATGGAATAGTCCCGAAATGTCTGGAAATGTCATTACCCGTCAAGAATATTTTAGATGACAGTTCGAGAAGGTTCGAGAAGGGTCCAGCAATATGCTCTAAGGTCAAGCTATATAAGGATGATCCTGACGTCAGTTTTCAGTTTTATAATAGACATTACACGTTAATGTTATCAGTTGCATTGTTATTGTTAAAGTTCAGTTGAAATAAATTGTGATACCAAAAACCTGCGTAACAATATTTTCAAACTGTCCACGTCTACTATCTGTCTACAAACGACGTGTTCCTTTAGTTGCCATTTGAGACGCATAGATGACATCATCATTGCTGCGGTGGTCGCGTATCCTATCTATCCTATTTAAGTCCTTTGTAACGTCATACGTGGGTTAATAATGACAAGTGACATGCAGTTAGTGTTTTTGGTTAGATTGAAGAACTCGCTCAGTCAAACTGGAAATTGCATTAGCTATTACACTTTTATTTAAGTCTATAGATACACGTAAATTATCAAAAATCTGCTTACACCATATAGAAAAACGTGTCAAACTATTCCTTATTAAATTCTAACATCCAGTCTTCAAAAATAATTAATTACAAAATTTTATTTCGGTAAGTTCCTTAAAATTTATACCATTACTAACAAGGTAGCAAATTAAATTTGTTATATCGCTGTACATATGAAAAATCCGGGGGAAAACACCCTATTAATAAGTGTAAACGAATATTCCTCAATTTCTTCTTTAGAGTCAATAAACATTAATCTAAAACTTAAATGGCAAAACTTAGACTAGGGTTAATGCGTTACAATAACCGGTTATCTTTTTAGGGCTTTAGTCACGTGATTTCAAGGACAACCAAGGGTATAACCAAAGAGGTTAGAATAATCTAAAGGTATAACCAAAGTATTTTCTGGTTCATCGCTTTAAAACGGTTTATGTTATACGCTAGTTCGGTGTGATGTTATTTTGGTTCCACTGACATTTAATTCTAACCAAACTTTTAACAAAAACATCAATAAATTTGACATATACGTTTTTACCGTTTTTAGTTTACAGGTCATAAAAAATAGTTTAAAGGTATGTAATTGGTAACTAAACGATTGTATATTTGATGCATGTTATCTACTTACTCTAGGAATATATTTATAAAAGTGAAAAAAATGATATAATTTAGGCAAACAAAACGAACAAAACGCACTCAAAAAATCTACTGTCACTTTAATTATCAGTGAAACTATAATTACATCTTACATCACACATTCTTTGATTACTATACGGTGCAAGAGAGAGGTCCGACACGCCCAACAGAGGGCTCGGCCATTTTGATTCCTATGCCACAGTTTATAGTTAAAGAATCAGATCGCTCACTTTGCGTCGGCACTTTTGATCTCAATGTTCCAGTTTATACACTGTGCAACTCGAATAATACAATATATGACAACCGCCTATAATAAAACAGCAGTCTTCTGCGTATCCTGAATTTGTATCCCTGGAGTGGATGTTATTTTCGAACTTTCAACTGGTCCGAGTGAGCTAACTGATTCTTTAGCAATAAACTGTGACTCCAAAAATAATATTCACTGACACTGACAGCAGCAAGCAAAATATCAGGTGCGTTTTAATAATCCGATTCTGCTTCCGGAATTGTCGGTTTAGTCGTTTTAACCTGTCAGATTAAAACAAGAAAACCGACATTTCCGAAGCAGAAGCGGATGATTAAAACGCACCTATTAAAAATATTGCGCCAAGATGTAGGCAACACGTAATAAGGGATCAAAATAGCGGAGTTTTCTATCTCCTTTTAAAAGGCACTCAGAAAGCTGCGCAGTGTGACCATTCTCCGTATAGTAAGAGAAAATCAAATCAAAGTATGTGTTACATCATCACTGAACTAGCGTATTGATATTGAAATTCCTGAAGTCAAAATTGTTGTCAAACTTGAATTATGCTGGGGTGGTCTCAGAGTGGTGAAGTTTTTGGGAATCAAAATTAAAACAGAAAATTAGGATGTTGGCGGTTGTTGATTTTTAAGATTTTGCCAGATAGAGATTAATTTTCAGCAGAATTTGTAAAAATAATGTGAAAAATATGAAAAATGAATAAAAATTAGGATTAATAAGATATTAGAATAATAAAGAATTGTTAAAAATTGGAAAGTTAAAATTTTAAATATAAAAGAAAAAGATGTTTTAATATCGTAAATATTAGAAAAACAGGTAAAG